TGCGTTTGGTAGCCTCAGCGTACTCCATTGCTCAAAAGGCAGGAACGATAGTCAGACGTGTTATTGCCGAAGGAGACCTGGGTATTGTGGAGAAGGTACTGATAATACCTCATCCCATCTCATCTCATCTCGCCTCATCTCATACGAACTTCATTTTTGTTCCTTGATGGTTAGCTCAAGGATGTAATAATCTGAATAGGCTTTAACAGTTGAAATAATCGGTGGTTCCCTTATTGAGATGGCAGAATGCCAGTAGAACGAGCAGGAAATATTTATCCTAGAGAAGAAAAGAGCTGGAGTTCCTTTCCTTCTGTAGTTAAATGGCTGTCAGTGTGTCTTTTTTTTCTCTAGAGCAGTGATATCTAAATTTGATTGATATATAAGTCATCTTCACATTGAACAATTCTTTTAAGATGTTTGATTCAACAGATATTTATGAGCACTCACTGTGTGCCAGACATCATTCTTTAGGGAATAAAACAAAGATCTCTGCCTTCGTGGCACTGCATTCTAGCAGAATAGTACTTTGCGTTGAGATAACCAGCAAACTTCAATGTGGCATAAAAGGGTTGACTTTCACGATCACTCCTTAGCTCATTGCAAAGCATTGTAAAAATTCTGCTGTTTAAGATAATGTGTAAATTTACCTAAGCAGGCATACATAAATTGCAGCATCCCATAATTCCCTTAGAGCAAACTGACAAAGAAGGTTGTGGCTGTCAATTGCAAGAGTTTCCACTGTCTTTTACTAGCACGACTGTCTGACGTATGGATTGAGAGTGCCATAGGTGAGCTATATATTAAGCATTACTGCCATTCATTTCTATATTTTAGAAATAAGTTTTTCTATACACCAGTGAATCGTCCTGCGGACCTCTTGAATTATTAGAATTAGGATGAGTGAGTAGAAGTTATAGAAGGATCTATATAAGGAATACTTCAAATAACAGAACTTACAGTTTTTAGCTTTGACTGCCTTGAAAAGTTATGAATCTCCTATCCCTTAATCTGTTTAAGCAAAAGATTGATCTTGAGATCTTGTGAAAGGAATTTCTGAACCGAGGGAGAAAATGTTTAATGATTTAAAAGCTCCTTTACAAACTCTAACCACTGTAACTCCCATGAGAATAAGCAAGCCAGGAGACTCGTTGACCCCTTTAGTGTTAAGTTCCATGAATCTAAAAACAGGCAGCGTAATTTAAATGATATAGACATTCATGCCTTAGGAATCCAGACGACTTATTTTAGTTCTGCTAAAATTTGCATTCTTTGTTGCAGACCTGTCCAACGGACCTGCAGACCAAAGCTGACCGACTGGCACAAATGAGCATATGCTCCTCACTGGCGCGGAAATTCCCCAAACTAACAATC